AGCTGAGGCAGGATAAAGTAATTCCTGGATCAGATATACTGTGAATTGATAAAAAGTTTTAAAAGGAGATTTATTAAAACGAACTAAATACAGGAAGGTGAAAAATTTACCAGAAAGGAGCATAATTCAAAAAATGAAGGGTACATTGCAGAAAGGGCAGACTGTTTATTCTTTTTAATTTTATCTTAAACTGAAGAATAAATACCTGAAAGTACAAGACTTATGGGGAGAGAGAGAAAGAACGAGAGACATAGAATGAGCGTAAAAAGAAATAAAGCCTATCAGGCAATACAGTTCAGTGAAAACAAATTCCTCCTCTCTTAGAAGCTAAAGTAAAATGTTTCCTGAATCCTGACAATACTCCATTCTTCTGCTTTCTAGATGGCTGGAACACGAACAACCATCAATCAAGTTTGGGTGGCTGTGAAGCAGGACAGATGGAGTATGTCGGAAGTGCTTTGTGCTCTTCAGTGCAAGTTGGCCATTAGAGCAGCCACTTGATAGAAGTGCCCAAGACTTTCACATCTGTCAACACAGTTTAGGGAGACCTTGAACATCGCTGGCCTTGCAGACGCTGATTAGAATATGCAATTGTATGTGCTAGAGGAGAGGTGATTGCCTCCACTGGGATTTTTGTGATAAAAATTATCCTTTCAGCCCACCCAGACTTTGTGACGGGCTTTCTCATGAACTCATTTGTGTACTAAATACACAAACCATGGTGTCTGGGATATCACTGTCACTTTGCTGACAGTCTCTCTGTCCAAAGGCACAATATTCAAGAGCAAAAGATGTTTTTCATTCTGTGTTAGCTACACTTTAGCACAGCAGCCCAGGATCAAGTTACTGTCTTCCAGCCTGAGCAAAGCTAGGGAAAAAGAGCTCGTCAGAAAACCAGGTAAAATTCAAATTCTTGGTTCATCATCTGCTCTCACCCTAAAATTCAATATACAGCACCGGACTCCAAAATGTCCGAGTGTCATAGACAATAATCTATAGAAGTCAGATGCTCAGAAAAAAAAAGTACTGTCACGGAGCAATTGTAAATAATAAGAAAAAATATATATATTTTTCTATTTATTTTCCAAAATAATGAGGAGTGCTTCAAAAAGACTTTAACACTTTTCTATGAAAGCTGACTAACAATAAAACAAATCCATAAAAACACTTAGGTCACCAGTCTATGAAGAAGGCATTGATACCCAAAGTTCATGAGTATCTCCTAGTTTAATTTAGCACAAACTATACTTTTATCAAAAAATCTGCAAAATTGTAACCCTTGAGATTTTTCTACATGTATAATTTCCCTTTGTGTTAAGAATAGAACAAGAGCCTATGAACAGCAGTCATTTTTGAAATTGTTAAGTGAGAGGAGAGAGACATATGATTCGTGCTACCAGCAAAGTTGCCATATGTTCACGAGCTGGAAAGATGGATAATCGACAGTAGGGCAGCATCTATAGTTAAGATCAATTTATTTGCAGTTTTCTCAAAGAGCAGAAAATGTGAGGAGGAGTTTCAGGCACCAAGTCACATCAAGGAAGTGTGTCAGGTGAAATTTGATGCGCAACACTTCATTGGTGGGGCCTAAACAAAATAAGCTGTCTTACCCACACACCTTCTGGGGTTCTTAACTAATCACATTAACTAATTTTTAAAAAATGTAAGAGTTAGGGAGAATTGTGAAGGTCTTAGATAAAGATGTTTACTTCACATACAAGCAGTGATCAAAATTTAAATCATAGTTAAAATATTTGGTGGGTATAATGAACAATAAAGGTAGCATTGCAACAATATTTTCTTTTTCAACACAGATCTGTAGAGGATGTGCTTGAAATAGTGTATACAGTCCAGTCTCTTCATCACAAAAATTATTTTGCAATAATAGAAAGAATTTAGGTAAGTCCAGTAGTGAGTATTCTTATTGTGGATAAATTGTAATACAAAGAAATATCTAAGTCAGAGGTTTCAGCTTTAAAAGATGGTAAATGACAAAACATGACAGAAGATACATATAACTACTATTGATTGGAGAAGCTAAATGTGGGGTTTTTCTCAACTCATTTTCAGTATGAAATCAAAAGGAAAAGTGATATATTGGAGAGGTTACAAACACAAGCTAATAAAAGAAAAATTTCAGTGCACAGGAAAGAAGCCTAGTCAGGAAAATCATGAAAACAACACTTTTTCTGAATATGTCAGTATTTTTCAGTGCAATAGCCTCAGTCAGTTCACATCTGCTTTTGGTACTCCCAACTTGTTGCTGTCAGAGATGTATTCATTGGTGTAGCTCTTGAAGCATACACCAGACAGAAAGGTAACCATCCAGCGGTAAAACAGATTCCTGGAACTGATAAACCCAACTTAGTGCTCTGTTGCCAGAGCTCTCAAACGCCAGGAAGCCACTGTCCTGCTACCCCAGGCAATCACAGTAGGAATTGGTGGCCTTTGACCAGTGTTTACAGATGTAGCTGCATATCAACACAGATCTTTTGCAACATTGTGCCTCAGAAAAAAATGCCACTGCTTCCAAACAATATATCATAGGCTTTTCCTCTTGTAGTCTTAACACACTGAAGCAAAGCTATGTGTGAAAAGGGAGCCTATATATACCTACAGTCCATTCTAAGCTCTCAGGTAATAATCCAGTTCTTATTTCTCATCTCCAAATAAGGGAATTCATTAAAATTCTAGCTATAGATTGAATGCAGTTTGATTTTTTTTTCTTTTATCTAGTTGTGGGTGAGGACTTACCTCCAACTCGTAATTTCCTTCACCTCAGGAAGAAAACAAATACTCTCATCCCAGCCAACATGTCAGCACTATGACTTTTAACTCAGAAATAAAGTCTAGTAGGGCAAAACGTTTCACACAGTACTAGTATGCTTGACCTAATTTCTTATTCTAGTTCCTCCTACTGGTACCAACACGCTGTCCATTGTAGCTCCTATGTAGTCATACCCACATATCTGCAATATGCACTTATCCCAGAGCCCAGGCAGGCTGTGTGTGTGTGACTTCCATGTCTGCCGCTCCTACTAATGCCAGCAGCAGATGAACAAGCAGGCGGCATGCAGGAAGATTTCTAAAGTAAATCAGGAGAGCACAACTTCTGCTCACAGTTATTATGACCAAACCCCCACATTTGTACCTATATCTCCTTTTGCATTCCTTCGAATCAAATGAAGTCAGGTTTCCTAGTTAAGTAAAACCCCATATCTGTTTGCTGCAGCTGTCCCAACGGGAGCTTCAGTTTCAGCTATAGCTCAGTGATACCTAGAATCAGTTAAGGTTAACTCCAACCCAGCAATTTCTGAAGCTCTGCCTTCAAAACTATAACTTGAAAACAAGTCTGTACTGTCCAACAGCCCTGCTTTCACAAAACAGTGCTGCATCAACACCCTGCTTTGTCTCCCTCTCCCCTCTTCTGGCAGCCATTCACAGAACATACTGACTCCATGGGAGCAAGACAAGGCAGAGAGCTACTGGTGGCTCGAGTGGCAGAGGCCTTCTGACAGCACGATGGGAAGCTTCATTCAATAAACTCCCAAATGCTACACAGGCGTACAAACTTACTCAAAAAAAAAAAAAAAAAAGCCAAAACCAAACAAAAAAACCCCAAAGAAACGAAAAACCACAAACAACCAATAAAAAACCAAACAAAAATAAGCAAACAAACAAACAAAAAAACCAATCCAAACCACAAAAAACCAGGAAAAATCCTTGCCCCCTAAACTGTTACACAATAAAAATCACACATCTCAAAGCCCTCCCTGCATCCCTACCCAATCATTTCTACCCTCAAATGATGTTTATTGCTGCCATCTCAACCTAGTCAGCTGGTCTCTAAAAAGCTAGTTGTATCCCTTCTGTTTCACAGCCTGTCACTATCTAGGCAAGTTTCAGACTCATCTAATAACTCCATGGATGGTGTGCAAGGAAAAGCAGTTACAGCTGCACTGACTGCAAAGCAGATGGAAAAACACACACAGAAAGCACCTGCAACCTTGGCAAGCATCTCCCTGGTTGCACAAGCAGAGCAGGCCACCTGCAGGTACTCCTCAGATCAATGGTGCACCACCATCCACAATTTGAAAGTTGCTTGTCCCAGGTGCACCTGTCACACCTAATCACATTTATTTGTGTTATTATCCAAGTATTCAGAGCCTGGAGCGTGTTAAACCTTGCTGGTTTTAAGCAAACAAATGTCAGGGTAGCATAGCTTGTATAATCCACTTAAAACACATTACTTCTGCATCTCAAACAAGATCTCACAATTTTAGCTCCCACTATAAATCATCCCACACACGTAACACCTGTTACTCCAACAAAAGAGTACATTAAAAGGCTTTAATGGTTAGAAAGAATATAAGTTTTTCTAAGGGACACCTGGAAACACAAACGCAGGGCATATGTCTTTATGTGCACTAGAAATTACACTGTCAATCACATTTAAATAAGAAATATACTTTCTGTACTCTCCTTCCTGCTATATTTGAATAAAAAATAAACAAGCCCAAGGGTACACAACATTTACATATTTCAGTGTGCACAGAGCAGAATATCCTTTCAATGAGTCCTGTCCAGAAGGAAAGCAGTTCTTTTTTTCAACTAGTCATTAATTGATACCAAACAAAACCTATGTAAAAGATGTCGTTATCATGCTATTATTGGTCTGTTCCCATCAACAGGTGAGTTATGAAAAGAATCTGCAGTCTGGCAGTCTTGTCACATAAGCAAACTGGTAGTGATACAGGTGGTCTAAAATTAAAATTGGAGCTCTAATCTTCAGTTTACCTCGTGCGTGTCAGACAGCCTTGACTATACAGCTCAGGAATATTGTCTATCTGACCACTGAGAGACAGGAGCAGTGCAAAACTGAGGAAGGACCATGAAAGTGCAATCTCTTGTACAACTGAGCTCCCACTGAAGCACGCGGGACATCACAAATCCAGTGATTTAAATGAACTAGCGTGCAGCTTTCAGAAAATGGAATTTACCTTGAGGTTTGGGTTTGGTAAGCTTCCCACAGGGCTTTGAGATTGTGACAGTCTTCTGGCAGTCAGCATTGTGAAGGGCTCTCTTTAGGTTTCCAGTTCGAGTCTTCAGGGCGGTATTCAAGTCACATTCTCCCCAGGCCTGGAACTGGTATTTGCACTCCGCTGCAATAAGTAAATAAAAGGCAAGTTTTAAAACACAGTGACTGAGTGGGAAAACAAAAATATTATGAGTCTAATAGGATATCACAGTCAGTACATACAGACAAAAGGATGTGCAGCTAAGGAAAAGAATCCCAAGAAAAATCTAAAGATTATTTGCAGTGGTAATTGCAGTTTTCCTTCTCCCCAATGTTCTAAAGTTTAATCCTCTGGCTTTTGCATGGATACTGCATTTTTTTCATATAAAAGAAAATACATTGAGCTGTGAATATGAACAATAAACAACAACAACAAAAAGAGATACAAAAACAATGGGAATATCATCTACATTCTATATTCCAATATTTGTATGATGCCAAAGATTACCAAATAAGGCTTGAACAGTTTCAGAAATGTATATGCAACTACAAACTTCTCAGGTCTGAAACTGCAACACTGATTGTGATGGTAAGGTCACAATAATGTCAAAACCATGCAAGCTGCTTACTAGAAAAAAAGCCAAGACTGCAAGCGTCATCAAACTTGAGTCTTGGACAGACATTTTATCCACAACAGATCTGACACGTCTTTCTAAACTGTTGCACATGAACCTTCTAAACTGAATGATAAAGATGATATACACTGATCTTCATTCACTCCCTCCACTGCACACACTGGCAGCAAGGCTCGTATCACAGATCACAAGGTCACATAACACCTGTGATAACCATCACAGAGATTCACAGCTGTGAACTTACACTACTACCTTAAATAGGGTTGGACACCACAGGAGAGCAGATTTCAGCATGCTGGAAGACTGAGTCTGTAATTAGTAGGTTATATGGACTCTATGCAGAGAAGCTCTGAAGAGGTTGCCTTCTGATGTTCTAGCTCTGATGAACTTCAAATACAGGACTAACCTCTTCACCAAGACATTTGCAGAACTAAGTAGAAAATACAGGCTTCCCGCTCCATTGTTAAAATAAAAAACAAAGCAAATCCTTTAAGAGACTGATGCTTACCTCCAAATTGCTTCTTCCAGTTGCAGGGAATCTTACACTTCTGAGTCTTGGTGGTTTGTTTGCACTCAGCTCCAGTGCGAGTGCCCTCACGTGTCCCCAGACCACAGTCACCATTGGTGGGGACACAGACACTCCACTGCCATTCCCCACAGTCAGACTTCTTCGCCTTTTTCTCTGGATGAAGACAAAGAACCAAGCAAGAGAAGTGGTCAGTACCCAGAGCCTACAGAGATGTTCCCTAAACTTAACCAAAGAGTCACAGCACCTGAAAGGGTAAATAAGGAAGACATTTGTAACACGATTGCTTTAAAAGCAAAAGGTCTGACATCCTCTTCCCAGTTCTGCAGAGACAGGTCAGCCTCTTTGAGTCCAAAGCAGGGTGATCATTCACTCCCACTACCACGTCAGAATAGGGAATCATCTAAAAACCCTCAAGGATCACTGACTAAACAGGTAGAAGGACAGAAGCTTGCTCAGAAAGGACACTCCTCTGTCTCCAGTAGCCGATGGTAGGCAAATATTCTCAGTTCCAATTGAAACACTATACACTAAACAACTAGAAATGTGTTGATATTGTGTATCAGAGGATCTGAGCACCTCTGGGAAACAGCTGTGAGATTCAATCTTTTAACTTGGTATACCATGTCACATTTTATGTCAGAATATGACCAAAACTCCAAAGGTAAAAAAAAAACTATATGGAGAAGCATATTTGAAGTGCTGTTAGTACAGGTGGGTTTATTGCTCAGGGACAAAAGTAAGCATCGTGATTTCATTGCAATCCTTTAAACCCAAGCCTTATGAGAAAAGACAGCATTGTCACTACTTAGGTCCCCCAAACATCACAAATAACTTTAAATAACCTCATATAAAATTAATTTTCTTCTAAGTTTTGTATGTTTACATTCACATTTTCTCATATTTCCATACAGCCACAATGGTTAGAAAGCCCATTTTTTTTTTAGCTGGAACACTAATTCTGATAGACTCACAGTTCATATTGTCTTGAGTGTCAGTAGCCTGTAAATAATAAGAGCTTAAGAAAAGCACCAAAAAATATATTCTTTAAAAAATGTCAAAACTGGTTTTGACAAATATGAATTTTCCACCCTAGGCCTGTCTCTCCTATAATGAGGCCTGAATTCATCACTGACAGAAAGCAATTACCACTGGATATCTGGCTGGCTGTGCCAGCAAGTTAGTTCAAATCTTTGTCAGAGGATTTCCACATCACACAGCATTGGTATAGTATTGTCATATACAACACTGAACAAGCAACATAACTGCTCTTTCATCACTCCTGTTTGGCTCTCCCTAAGTCAAGCATGAAACTATTCCCGGAGTAAATTTTAAGCTGCCTTGCAATACCCACTGTGTGATAAACCAAGGACTCCAGTCTCTGGGGTTGTCAAGCTGCCAGTTTGCGTGGAAACCACTTTCTTGTTTCCTGTTTAACACAGAACAACATGTCACAGACACAAATCCCTACCCTGGATGTCAAAACGTTAACGAGTTACCTGAATCTCATAACAAAACCAGAAGCATTTGACATTCTCCCACACATGCAATCTATCTTGGGGATTAACTCTGAATTACACTGGACCTTACCTGGTTTCTCTTTTTTGCCGGCCTCAGTGGTACTCACAGCTGCCAGAATGAAAACAAGTGCCAGGAGGGCAGCTGTGAACATCCGACGTTGGTGTTGTTGCTGTTGCATTCTGGAGATCAACGACAGAGAGGAAACAAAAAGGTTGGTTAGACTGTAAAAAAGTGGGACTCCATCTAAAGCAGGTCAAACATAATTAGCTACTGGCAGAATGGGCAATTATCTTCATTCCAGAGAGAATATCGAGATTTTTAACTATTTTCCAGCCTGTATACCAAATCCCCAATATACATCACTGATCTCATTGGATGAATTTTGCCAAGGAAGTTCTGTAACTATTGCTCATCTTCTAGAAACCTGTCAGAGAATCAAGGATCCTGACAGGTCTAGAACTTCCCTCTTCTTTTCTGACCTCTGGCTGTGTAAACCTAAGCAAAATACAGACTTCATGTTTCAGCTTACCAATTCATATAAAGATGGACAGACAATTCTATACTGTCCATCTTACAAGGGTTCAAGTTCTTATTAGGCTTAATTGACATCAGAAAAGAGCTTCTTTCAAGAAAACCTATAGAGGTAATATGTGATGCTTTATCTTAATTGTCATTGGTGTGTTGCTACCTACTTCTTCCTTCCCCTGCAATTGGTGTCTCTTCCTAATATAAATTAAGCTAATTGCTTGAAAAGCAAAATACGCACAGAGATAGGACTTGCATACACTGCTAGAGGCTATCCATAGCATGCTAATGAACCCAAAATCTGGATTTGGGAAGCAAACATTCAAATATAAAAAGGAATTAAAACATTTGCTTGGTGGTGAAGCATCAGTACTAGCCAGTCACCAGAAGCAATTCAGAGCTTTCCCTTTCACTTTGCTATAACTTGCATTGTCTCATTTTGGCAATGTTTATAGGAAAGCAGGGCCTTAGCAAATACATATGTTAAAAATAAGCAACCTCCCCATTTCCTAGAGACACATTTCTATCAAGCAGCCAGATACCAAGATGGTTGACTGGAGATTGTTCAGATGAAAGGAAGGTTTTTCCAGCTTTTCTTTTTTTTTTTTTTTTTTCAAACCAGTACCTATAACATTCATATAACATTCATGTTACACCAGTCCCTCGAGGAAGTGTCAATAGTACTAGCCACTAAGATGGCCTTAAAAACTCAACTAGACTGATATTTACAGAAAGTTTAATGGCAACCTGATCTCATTTGCTGAGCACAGCAACCTCAGGGGAGAAATACTTCTCGACATGAACAAAGAACAAAATGTATCTGAAATTTAATTTGGCACTCCTCAGTATTCTCTGCTGGCAACCTCTAGCTCAAATGCAACATAATTGTAATTGACGTGGAAACCAGCAGAGGAATCCCAAAGATAGACTTTTAAGTATCTAGCTTTTATATCATGCTAGAAGTCAGATGAAACAACCTGAGTTTTGTTGAAATAAAGTTCCTGTGAAGACTGCAAGACACCTGGCATTCAAATGTCTGAAAGAGCTGTCATTAGCATCAGTTTGGTTTTCTTCAAAAGAAAGTACCATTTCCCATCAGGAAGATAGGACCCGCAGTGTTTCCAGTGAACTCAGACAGAGCCTGGAGTTAGAGCACAAGTCGTGTGTGAGCTTGGGCTTGTTTTTCCCTTTATTCTGCTACATGTTACTACTCAGAGCCTCTCATATTTCACAGAAAATTAATTATTAAATAAAGAAGTAAATAAAAAGAAATAACCAATTAAAAAATAAATATGCAACCTTGCCTTATAGTTCGGCTAACTTCAAACTGGTTTTCCATAATCAAACAATCACCACTTCCTATGAAGAAAGGCTAAGACGATTGGTTTTGTTCAGCCTGGAAAAGAGAAGGCTTTGAGGTGGCCTAATTGAAGCCTTCCAGTACCTGAAGGGAGTCCACGAGAAAGATGGAGAGACTTTCTACAAGAGCATGTAGTGAAAGGACGACAAAGAATGGATTCAAGCTGAGAGCAGGTTTAGATTAGCTTTAGTCACCATAATGTAAGAAAGATATTAAGCTATTAGAGACCATCCAAAGGAGGGCAACAAAGATGGGGAAGGGCCTTAAGCTGTATGAGGAGGGGCTGAGGTCACTTGGTCTGTTCAGCTGGAGAAGAGGAAACTAAAGGGAGACCTCATTGCAGTTACAGCTTCCTCATGAGGGGAAGAGGAGGGGTGGGCACTGATCTCTTCTCTGTGGTGACCAGTGACAGGACTCAAGGGAATGGCCCAAAGTTGTATCAGGGGAGGTTTAGGTTGGTTATTAGAAAAAGGTTCTTCCCCCAGAGGGTGGCTGCACACTGGAACAGGCTCCTCAGGGAAGGGGTCACAGCACCAACCCTGACAGAGTTCAAGAAGTGTTTGGACAATACCCTCAGGCACATGGTGTGATTCTTGGGGATGATCCTGTGCAGGGCTAAGGGTTAGAGTCAGTGATCTTTGTGGGTCCCTTCCAACTCAGCATATTCTGTGGTTCTGCAGATATTAGGAAAAATTTCTTTACTGTGAGGTTGGCGAGGCACTGGAACAGGTTGCCCAGAGAAGTTATGGAAGCCGCATCCTTGGAAGGGAGGACCCATACTTCAAGGCCAGGCTGGATGGAGCTCTGAGCAACCTGATCTAGGAAAAGGTGTTCCTGCCCACAGCAGGGGTTTGGAACTAGATGATCTCTAAGGTCCCTTCCAACCCAAAGAATTCTGTGATTCAAACAGACTTTCCACACTATTAAAACATCAAACTCCCCACTCAGTCCCTGTAAGAGATGGTAACATTGGGTTTGGGGCTCCCCCCTACATCCCTTCTGCCCACCCCAGGGACCTAGGATGTGGTCACATCAGGAATCATGGATAACTGTTACTAGGGAAGTTACCTTATATTAAGTTGATAGGGAACTCAAATTCAAACCTGACTGACGCTATTTTCAGCAAAACAGGCAGGGAAAACAGTTGGGTTTGGGAGTCTGAAACATTCCAGAAGCCCTATAAACAAAACTCAACAGAGCCTTAATATAGTATGTTTCCTAAGATTCAAGCTTTCCTATAGTCAAAATACTTGCCAAGTTGTCTAAAGCAAATGCTAAACTTGTAGGTACAGCTATAGATATTTTGTCTCTCTGCAGAGAGACACAGACTGGTTCCTGAAGTGCCTTTGCTACTAACTACCAACAAATGAAAAGCCATGTTGTACAAACGGAGACTTTGCCTCACACCACATCAACACCTCAAATATGATGTAACCAGTATGACTACAGAAGAACATTTAACTGCTTTGCACATGATAGATAACAAGGGCTGGTGCTCTCACAAAATCAGAAACAACCAATATGTAGTACCCATGAAATAGTAGATATTTTTTCAGAAGTCCAGAAAATTCCTCTTATCAGAAATTATTTGAGTTCAATCTTCAGTTTTCCTTTCAAATATTTCATTTGGCAGTTAAAAAGATGGATGAAGACAAAAAATTGTTGGATTGGTCTTGTTTCTGCAAACAATATATTCTACTGAAAATAACTTTGCCTTTTTTGGTTTACTTTTTCAAAATTCAAAGGTGACAGTGTTTCCTTTTTATTAGATCCTTTGACAATATTTCCAGTTCAAACTTTGATTTAAAGAGCTGCCAAAACTGCTATTAGTAACAAAATAATAAGTGTTTCACGTTATGCAAAATGGACTCTTCCTCGATATTTTCATTTTTGTAATAAGCCTTCTAGCTACACCAATGGTAACAAGTAAATCTTGTCATGAAGGGAAAGCATGTCTAAAATCCTTTATGACAACCCCCTAAAGAGAGTAAGACAACAGCACTTAAACAAATGGTAGTGGTATTTACAACCACAGAAAGACAATGACAAAAGTGAGAGAAAGGAAAGACATTTAGGGTACGGAAAGCTCCAGGAAACTTCAGAAGAGAGAAAAGGTAGAGAGAGAGAAGACAGTTTAGAACAGTTTAAATTGGAAGCTGGAACAAGATCAGAAAAACGCAGTGAGTAATCACATAGAGAGAACTGAAATAGGAAAGAGAGAGGAGACAAGTAGTTAATGATAGGGAAACATTAAAACAGAGAGTGTTAAGAAAACATGAAGAGTGTAACAAAGTCAGAAGTAAAGCCCAGCTGAGATGCACGAAGTGACTTCTTGCAGCAAAAATAAGGCACAGGAATCACTTCAGTCTTACAGTTGATTTCAGAGTCAATCTCTGCTTGGGGGTAAGAGGTGAAAGGAAAATTAAAAAATGTCAGGCAATCAGAGAATTAATGAGTTCATCAACCACCCACCCATGGGTTCAACTGCATGTTGAGCACCAGAGAGTCAGGCAGAAGTCACCCTATGGCTGCAGTTTAAGTGATCTGAGCAGAGCTTGAGCCTCCCACTTCAAAGCCTCCAACCTTATTTTATAATCACACTCATCTCTCCTGAACCGGATTCATTAAATCATTCATTTGCTGTGATGAGCACCATCCACATGACTAAGTGGAACACCTTTAGGAACATCTGAGATTAGCTCCGTTGGTTAAAGCGTGGTGCTAAGGTTGTATTGTGTGTTCAATTCATTTAAGAGTTGGACTGAATCCTCCTTGTGGGTCATTTCCAACTCAGAATATTCTGTGAAATCTGTGAAATACCTTTCTTATGGACTGCAGCACACAAATCCTGGCTCTACCAGAGACCCAAACCAGTATCTGCATAGTGTAGCACTGGCAAGCAATGTGGCAAGCAATCACTTCCATGTGGGTCCAGAAATGCTACTGACACCTTCATGCAGTGTCAGCTTTGTCTATCAGCCCAAGAGAAAGTTTAGTCCATCCAACCCCAGGCCCTGAAAATGCAGACTGAAGTTGGCAGCCCAAGGTATCCCAGGTGTTTTCATGCTGTGCTCCTTAGACCTCTGGATGTCCTTTAGTGCAAGTCAAGCTTGCCAGAGTGACTCTATCTGCACTCATGCAACTAACTCATGGTACTCCAACCCAAGGTACTCCATTTCTCACATCTGAACAAGTCTTTCCTGAACATTTCAGAACAAAACAGACATTTTCAGATGAAGCTCTGTCAGCGTTACTTTTCCTAGCCTGACTGAAGCTAGTGTACGCAGCACATCC